TATCCAGAATCACAAAATCAACAGGATATGAAAATGGCCCTACTGCGACTATCAAGTCCTCTGCTATACCCCTAGGATGCACAATAGATCTATCAGCGAGCTGGATGCTCATCCTAGTATTACTGGGTTCACCTAGGCCTAGCTTCTTAAACAATGAATAAGGCATGACATTAATGCTAGCGCCTAAATCCGCCAAGGACTTCCCTACATGCAAACTACCAATCATGCAAGGGATAGTGAAACTCCCTGGATCTTTTCGCTTCTCTGGTAGTTTGTTCTGCAGGATGGCAGAACACTCCTCGTTCAGCATCACCGTAGACAGCTCCCCAAGCTTCCTCTTATTGGTGAGGAGATCCTTCATGAACTTGGCATACTTGGGCATCTTCGATAATGCCTCCACGAAGGGCATGCTAATATTCACCTGCTTCAGCATTGCCATGAATTTGGCAAACTCAGTCTCCAGTCGGTCTTTGTGCAACCGAGTAGGAAAGGGAAGCTGGGGTACATACTCCTTCACCACTGGTTGCGGTGTAGGAGCAGGCACCTCAACCTCCTTCTCCATTTCTTCCTGATTAGCTGGAAGTGCTGAAGCAGGGGTCTCTTTCTCCTCTGCTCGAACAGGTGGATCTGCAGTCACCTTGCCACTCCTGGTTGTGATGGCACTGCAGTTTTCATCCTGGTTCTGCGGGTGAGGAATAGTCTGACCAGGCAAGGTACCTGGAGTCCTCCGAGCAACAGCCTGTGCAACACCACCAAGCTGGGTCTGTATATCTCGCAGCACAGCCTGTGTGTTTCTCTGACCAGCTTCTAGCTCCAAGAACTTGCCAGAAGCTTTCTCCATGAACTGCTCAATGTTAGTGAACTTACTCGCACTGGAGGAGGCCAAAGAACCCACCAGATCTCTCAGCTCCGCCATCGGGTCAACCTGTGCTGGGGCTGCCCCAGCCTGTGGAAATGGTCGTGCCTGCGACTGAGGTGGAACTGGCCCCTGTCTGGGCTGGTAGAGTGGCTGCTGTTGCTGCTGAAATTGCCCCTGTCTGGGCTGGAATGGAGGCCTCTGGAAACCGGGAGGTCCCTGGGGAGCTGGTGGTCTGGGATTTGGCCCAGCCCAAGAAAAATTAGGATGCTGGCGCCACCCCTCATTATAGGTGTTGCTGTAGGGGTCAAAGCGCCTGGCATTCCCGATGAAATCCACCTGCTCCTGGGGAGTGGACGACTCCCTCATAGCCTGACAGTCCTCCACGGTGTGATGAGAGCTCTCACACCACTGGCAGTGCATCGCCTGCGGCTGTCCGGTACCTGCAATCAAACCAGAACGATCGATAGCTGAAACCAGCTTCGATACCACCTGCACCAGATCAGATGACTGGGTGCCCACAGCATGCACGCCCCTTCCAGGTGCTCGTCTCGATCTCCTGGCAGTGCCCCAGTCATAACCATTCTCCGCCATCTCCTCAAAGAGTTGATTCAGCTGTGGCGGGGTTTTGGTCAGCATGTTCCCGCCACAAACCGAATCGATCAGCTGCTTGTCCTCCGGGAAGAGGGCGTGATAGAAGGTGCCCACCTTAAACGCATCATTGAAACCATGGTTGGGACACCTGAGAAAGAGGCTGGTGTACCTCTCCCAAGCATCCCTAATGGTCTCATCCTCATCCTGAGAAAAGTGTGTAATCTGCTTCTGGAGATCAGCTGTCTTGGATGGAGGATGGTAGCGGGTGAGGAACTTGTCCGCCAGGTTGGCGAACGTGGTGATGGAGCCCGGAGGTCGAGTGTCTAGCCACTCCTTGGCCTGCCCCTCAAGAGTGAAAGGGAAGTACCGCAGCTGGATGGCATCTGCTGGGACCCCGTTGATCTTGATTCCATCGATGAGCTCGTGGAATCGCCTGAGGTGTGATCGAGGGCACTCTCCCTCCTTACCACGGAACACTACTGAACCGCGCAGCATGGTGATCACGGAGGTGCTCACCTCAAAGTTGTTGGCTGGGACCTGAGGGTGTTGAATAGGTGACCTCATGTCCGCAGCCCTTGCGGTCCAGTAGGATCCCATGGTCTGCTCCTCGGGGATCAGATTGTGGTTCTGAGGATCCCCCATCTCGCCTTCTTCTTCTTCTTCTTCTTCTAACTGCAGCTGTGACAGCGCCTCCTCCGCAGCCAGTCGCGCCTTTAGAGCCCGCTTGAAGTTCCTACAAGTTCGTTCAAGCTCCTGGTCTAATGGTAGTAGATCTCCCGACTGGCTACGGGTCATGCACTACCTGCACACAATCAGTAGAAGCAACCCGTGAAGGCACACAGGTGGAAGAGATAAAATGCAGAAAATAAAAGCTAGAGTAACAAATTATCACGTTTCCCCAATAACCTAGAGGGGTCCCCGGCAACGGCGCCAAAAACTTGACACGCCAAAACACAACACCAAACTGCGACCAAGTGCAATCGCAGTCCGGGAATGCAGTAACAGGCAAGTTTAATTATCAACCCGGGGTCTAGATCTACTGCTTACTCCGTGATTCTCTATTATCTAGCAAACTAGTTCGAGAGATTGTTGTTTAACGCAAAAGCAGTAAGAAAGCAGGAAATGGTTCGGTTTTCAAAAGCAGTTAAGAGTCACTCGGGATTGAGTCCCCCTAGCCCCTTAGTTAGGTTCAATTGCAATTCCCTGGGTTGATTTACTGTTGATTAGACTGCGGAAGATCCGACAGTAGCTTGGAATCTCTTAAGCTGACCAAGCCCTCTCAGTATAACTACCCGGCAGACGACTAGTCTTCACCAGGATAGAAAGCTGAGGCTATGAACACAGAACTCCACTACTGGCGTCAAGAACACCAGTACAAAGCAGTAAATTGGCTAACTCTCGTATAGCCAATCTCCTACTATCGAATGAAGAAGCTCTAACAACCTAATCAGATTCCTATCTATCTCAGGTTGAAGCAGAAATTGAGACAAGCTGATCAGACTCAAATCAATTCATGAAACATGCGTCATTCGATTAAAATCAAACAATAATATCATCCCAAGTCATTACAATCAAATCCCTAACACAAGGAACTAGGGTTCTTCATACCCAAGTGAGAGAAGGGTTCTACTCCATAGAGAGAGAAGAGAAAACAAGAATCGGATTAGTCATACTCATAACGATGAGGATAATCTGCTCCGGGACGATGATGTTCACTCCTATGGCGATCTCCAGGCTCGATTCGATGAAATCCAGCTCCAAGATAGCTTCTAGGATGAGTTCTTCGCACTTTCTCTCTCTAGGGCTCTGTTTTTGCTCTGAAAAAACGATTCCCCCTCTTTTGGCTCGGATTAGGCACTAAAACCGGATTTCCCCAGGTGCACGGGCAGGTGCACGGCCGTGCACCACCCCAATCTGGCCGTGCAACATCAAACGCACCGTTTTGTTTATTAAGCTCAGCCTTCTTGCACGGCCAGGCGCACGGCCGTGCAAGCCTGGATTGTGCCCGTGCAAGCTCTCGTCGTGAGGCGCACGGCCAAATGGCACTAGTGCACGGCCGTGCAGCCCCCTGGTCTGGCCGTGCACTCCTCCAAAAGCTTGCCCTTCGTCCGTTCTTCATCCAATCGACCCCAGACTCGCTCCTAAGCCTTCATTCACGTACTAGGACCTGAAATAACACAACCAAGCACAACCTAGCGTGAAATCGGCCTAAAACACGAGAATCAACACCTCAAACGGTGTTAGTATGAGGGTAAAAACATGTGTAAATGACGGTCTATCACCAACTGTGACTTGGATCGATCACTTGCTCTTGACAGTCGTTTATGCATCTAGTTCAGGGAATCAGAATGAGAGATAGAGCATATAGGTAGCCATGTGAGATTTGAGCCTGCGCGTTTCTTTCCTGTGCGATAGTTCCCTCTTCCATTATGTGTAGCATTCACGTTGCCATTAGCTAAGATGATGGAGGGATAGGATTAGCCCACGAACAAATTGACTGTCCTGGTGTGTCATACCCCCTAGTCGGCCCTTTGAGCCGTGTACTTTTCTTCCTTTCGGTCTACAATGGAAAATCACCATTTTGCATCTTTTAGAAGATTCCACAAAGTGGTTTTTGCATGTTCTCTGCTGTTTCTGCAAAATTTAATGTGAGGGTTGGAGGTAATGCTTAAAACACGGGCATGTGTTTGAAAAATGTGCAGAGGTGGTGGTTCTCTCAAGAAAGAAAATGAAAAAAAAAAACAAAAAAAAAATGAATGAAAGCAAAAGAGAGCCACTCCCCAAAATTATGAATCATGCTCGTTAAGTAGTGTTTCTTAGCAGTTTGGCTTGGAAATACTAGCATTTATGTGACCTCCTTCGCTCTTATGCTCTAAAGAATTTGAGTAATGCAGAATGGCATAAAGGAAGTTACTGGTAGGGCTAGTAATCGGTACGGTACCGATTAACCGATAACCGGTTATCGGTATACCGAAACCTCCCAAATGGCTGCCGACAACCGACACCGGGTGGAAACCGGTTAACCGGGTTACCGACTAACCGGATAACGGTTAACAACCCGGTTACCGAATTACCGGCAACTTCAATCGTCACCATCAAACTTCTTCCTCTCCCTGTCGCAAGCCTTCGACTCCCTAGTTCTCTCTTCCAAGCTTTTCCTCAGCAAGCCTTCGACTCCGGCTCCTCTTCCTCCTCTCCGTAGGCATGCTCATCCTCTTCAGCTGGGCAAACCTCCCCACCAACCTCCGATCGGAATCATCCCCCGCCTTAGTTCCGGCTGCTCTGCCTCAAATCCCTCCGCATGCAAATCCAATCTCCATCTCTTCGACTCTCCAGTTCTCTCCTCCAAATTCTTCCCTTCTCTAATCGCCGCCCACCTCCTCTCTTTCTCAATCTCCCCACCTGTCGTTGCCGCTGCCGCAATGGAGAGGCAATCTTGTTGATTCGCCGAAATCAGATTCATCCCTGGAGATTTAGATTCGTCGATTAAAATAGTGTCTGGGTGCTGCTCAAGCGGAGAAACAATCGATGAAATCCTCTGTCTCTGTCCAACGCGTGTTCCGTCGTCGCCATCCAATGCCGGTCTCAGATCTGGATTGAGAAAGCCACCGCTTTCAATCCGCCGGGAATGTTATGCAACTGAGGCATGGCGGAGGGTGGTCGTTGACTGATTGGTGGTGGGTTGTCACCGACTACCGCCACGGCATCTCCCTCGCCTTCCTCCTCGCTTGGGTCGCCGGGTGGGTTATCTCTCCCCTGCCCTCTCAAATGTTCAATTCAATTGAAACTCTAATGATTTAGAAACCTGTGTTATGGTTTCTTTCTGGGCAGGAGAAGAATGACGGTGGCGACAAAGACGAAGAAGTCGCCAGGAAAAAAGAAGATAGGTTGGACACGATAGTCCCACCACTATTCTCCAATTTTGAGCTCCGGTCTCTTCGACATCATCACGGCAGATACAACAAAGAAGCGGAGAAGAAGCTTCAAGCTGTGAATCTTCAAACCACTGGATTCTCATTCAATTTTGGGTTTTTCAATTATGGGTTGCTGTATCCCTTGGACCTGCGATTATTGGTTAATTGTTACTGTTGTTTGGGGATTTTGGTGGAATGAAAGGTGAGAATGATGGGGAAGAAAATAATTTATCGGTCTGGGTTTTCCAAATTTGTTCGTCGGTGGCAGAGGGGTAGGAAGAAGATAAGACGGACATGGGTTCGGCGCGGCATGAGAGTGGTAGAGAAAGGCAGGTTGGTGTCTGGTTGTAATCTGATTTCGGATATCCGGTATACCGAGTAACCGCCGGTAATTTACCGAAAAGGAGCCGGTATACCGTGTGGTGTATTGTCACTACCGCCAACCGGTACCGCCGGTTAACGATTGTATCGATAACCGCCGGTTATCGGTTCGGTTGTCGGTTAAACCGTTAACCGGGATACCGGTTACCTGCCCTAGTTACTGGTTTGTTTGACTATGATTGTGTAGGATCTGGAACTGTGGAACCTTGTGCTATGAATACTTCCACCACCTAAAAGGCTTTTTCCCCATGTCCTAGACCCTAGCCAGTCATTTGAACCTGTGTCTAAGACCTCCGGATTAGTTAGTGGTGACACCCGATATGTGAACTCTAACATTTAGAGGCTGTCGTCATGGTGAAGAGATGTTAGGAATTGAGAGTATGAGTATGCACATCTTGCATCAAAATTCTGTCCTGACCCCACTGGTCGAGAGTGAGCGATTTATTTCCTCATATTTTCTACACTCTTTACCCCGGTGAGGACCTAGATTGCTCGGTCTTAATTCTGATATCTTGAGCTTTGTGCATGAAGTGATTGTCTTGAATAAGTGGTTGAGTCAAGTCTGTGTTGGTTGGTGAACAGAAGGGAGACTCTTCCTTTGCTTGACTTTGCTGCATTCGAATGTCATATGTGGTGGTTGTCTAGGTTGTCTTTGAGGTTGTCCATGTGTTAATGATCAAAAGCCAGTATGATTCACATGTTTTGTGCCGATATGATATGTCCCTAAAGCCTGCTTGATTAAAACGTTTTGAGCTTACCTTGTGTCTGACTTGGTTTGCTTGGGGACAAGCAAACGGTTAAGTGTGAGGGAATTTGATAACGATGTGTTTGCACATGTTTGCACCATTAGTTCTTATCCGTTTGCGGCTCGTAGTCGTGTATTTTTTGTCCATTTTACGCTGGGTTGTGCTACTTTGTCATATTTCAAGTCCCATACGTCGAAGGAAAGGCTCAGCACGAGATTCGGGGCGTTTGGAGGTCATTTGGTCGAGCTGGGAGCAAAACACGGGCAGGAGGCCTGAAGAACACGGTCGTGTACACAAACGAGCACGCCAGTGTTTTTATGTGCAAGAGCTGAACTGATGGAAAAGCAAAACACGGGCTGGCCTAAAGAAGAACACGGCCGTGTCCCAGGCCGTGTCTTTTATGCCGAGGCTTGATTGAAGGGAGCTCCTGCAATGTCTAAAACACGGGCGGATGTGAACCAAAACACGATCGTGTCCATCTTTAGGCACGACCGTGTTTTGGACGACGCGGGCGTGTTTGTAACACGTGGCAAGGGCACGGACGGGCAAAAGCAAAACTCAGCCGTGCCCTCGACCGTGTTCTGCCCAGTATCGACTTTTTGAGGCAGATTCGAGCCAAAAGAGAGGGAATCGACTTTTTGGAGCAAAAACAGAGTTTTAGAAAGAGAAAGTGCGAAGAACAAACCCTATGAGCTATTTGGAGTGGATTTCTCACCAGTGAAGCCCAGATTGCATCCCCAGGAGTGAAGATCATCATCCCGGAGCAGAATATCCTCATCTTTATGAGTATGACTACTCTGATTACTATTTTCCTCTCTCTCTCTCTATGGAGTAGAACTTTCTCTCACTTGGGTATGAAGAACCCTAGTTTGTGTTAGGGATCTTGATTGCAATGACTTGGGGTTGTTATACTATTTGATTTTAATCGATTGATGCATGATTCATTGAGTCAATTGAAGTCTGATCATCTTTTCTTGATTTCTGCTGCAACCTGAGATAGATAGAATCTGATTAGGTTGTTAGAGCTTCATCAATCGGTAGTGGTAGATTGGTTATACGAGAGTTAATCAATTTAATGCTTTGTACTGGAACCCAATTCCAGTAGTGGAGTTCTGTGCTTATTGCCTCAGCAGTCTATCCCGGTGAAGGTTAGTCGCCTGCCGGTTAGCCTGCCTGAGAGGGCTTGGTCAGCTTAAGAGATTCCAAGCTACTGTCGGATCTTCCGCAGTTTAATCAACAGTTAATCAACCCAGGGTAATTACAACTGAGACCTAACTAAGGAGCTAGGGGGACTCATTCCTGAGTTACTCTTCCTTTGCTTTAGAAAACCGAACCATTTCCTGTTTTCTTACTGCTTTTAGTTAAAATCACAATCACTCAACTTAGTTTGCTAGATAACAGATATACACGGAGTAGGTAGTAGATCTAGACCCCGGGTTGACAATTAGAGCTTGCCTGTTACTGCATTTCCGGACTGCGATTACACTTGGTCGCAGTTTCGTGTTGCGTTTTAGCGTGTCAGGTCGTTTTCAATTTGGATCGGGTTTAATTGGGTTGCAGGTCAATTGGGTTACGAGTCAATCAGGTCACTGGTCAATTGGGTTACGGATCGGTTCGGGTTAGGATGCATCAAATTACTGGTTTATTGGATTGCGGGTTAATTCGAGTTCGGTCGGGTCGGATTATGGGTTATTCGGTTCAACCCACTGGATCATTTGCTTCTTGACAGATAATAATGTTTTACAAACTACCAATATATGAATATAAATTGTAGGTAATGATACAAAATTTAAGAAAATGATAATATGATAATATTTTACACATAAAAATTAAATATCCATTATGTTAGTATAAAAATAAATATAAATAAAATAATGTATATAAAATCTTTGTTGTTGGTTATAATTTTTTTTGTTTATGGTGAGAGATTGTAACTTCACTTATTTTATTAATTTATAAAAAAATTTAATCAGTAAAAATTTGAGAATGAAGTAAAAAAGGTGGACTATATGCTTATACATCTCGAAATGAATCGTCTTAATTAAATATAGTATGAACTAGATGTATGTCTCTTTATTTCCATGAAGACTTATGAACATCATTCCGAATCACCCGCTTATATATCTTCACAATTTTTAATATATCCACGGTAACATCTCATCCTAAAACTCATGGGTCGAACAACGGTTTGCTCAAATATGATATTATCATCTAATTCGAATCGTCGATTTAATAATTTATAAAAAATAAATAAAGTCGGTAAAAAGTTGATAATGAAGTAAAAAGGGTAAACTATCCACTTATATATCTTGATAGGGATCATTGATTTTGGGGATTTTGGGGATTTCATTGATTTTCAAGGGTTGATTTCTTTAATATAGTAATGGGTGGAGGAGATACGAATTTGTATCTAACTCTTCCTATTATCTTCAAAAATTTATCCTTTGAATTTCATAAAATAAAAAATAAATGAAAAGATATTTCACATATTATTATTTTAAAAATCAAATATTTAAGAAAAAACCTCAATTTATACAATCAATTCTACAAATTTTCAATTATTATGAGAACAACAGTTCTTTCTTGATAAATTTAAAATATAATAATGTATACATTGAATTTTTGTACAAGCATTCAGGTCAAATGAGTTATTCGAGTTGGATTCGGTTCGGTTACGGGTTATTTGGGTTATGAATCATTCGGGTTATAGATGGGTCGGGTTATGGGTTGATCGGATTACGGGTCAATTGGTTTAGGGTTACGGACGGGCTTCTGGTGGTTGATTTTTTGTCAAATCAGGTTACGGACGGGTGGGTTGGGGGTTAGTCGGGTCGGGTTCAATTTTGACAGCTCTACGTACAGGTATAGATGTCAAAACAGAATCAAACGTGCAAGTGCATTCGGTGACTTCCTTTGAGTCCATCTAAATTTTTATTAGATTCTATTTCCAAGAGCTGTTTGGATAGTGAATTTTATTTTCAAATGATAAATTTTGGCACAATTTTGTTTGATTTACTTTTACATTTTTCTAAGGGTTAGTCAAATCTTTGAAGTTGTGGACCGAAATATTAGTCAAAACTTTCAATATATTGGACAAATACAACCATTAGTTAGTTTCACCATTAACAGTGTTGGTGTGACTAATGGAAATGGTGATGGGAAATGATCTGTGATTAGAGCTGGTAAATGGTCGGTATCGGTTGAATCGGTTACCGATTAACCGGTATTTGGTATACCGCACCCCAGCAAAATCTCGCCGATTATCGATACCGACTCGGAGACGGTGGCTTGATTGTCGTTGATTCGCTGGCTGAAGTCGCCGACACGGACATGATGGCGATGGTTTTGGGAAAGTCGATGACGACGACGATGGTGTTGGGGAAGCCGATTTGGAACAGGAGACGTAGCGATAAGGGCGTAGGGCAGAGGAGGAGCGAAGAAAGGCGATGCATGTCCATCTTCTTCCGGAAATCTCCCTATCGCTCTCTTATTTTCTTCCACTGATCTTGCCCCAAACTCCAGAAAAGATGAGAAGAAAGAAGAAGTCTCTTCTGCTTCGCACCATTCGTTTACTTCCTTTAGTACACTGTACCAGAAAGGACAGAGAGATGGCCCATGAGAAGAGAAGGTAAATCTCAGATGGGGCAAGTCGAGAGGAAAGAATGAGAAGGAGGAAGTGGACCGGTGGTTGATCGAGAGGAAAGAATGAGGGGCAGATCGGAATTAGGGTTTTTGGTTGCTTGTGTCCGGTTAGCTTATCGGTATCCGGTTAACACGTCGGTTTCTGAAACCGGTTACCGGTATACCAGGACAGGCTATATGGAGTTCGACTACCATCCGAATACATTGTAACCGGTTAACGGTATACCGGTTACCGGAGG